GTTTTAATTATAACAATTATTATGAGCGCGGTGCCCATAAAAAAATGAGTGTGCAACATTTTTTTTTGCAAAGATATTCTAGTTAATGAGATTATCCGCATTATGTAAATTACAACGAAAATCGATTTCAGATTATTCAATACACTGGTTCACTGCATCTCCGGCAATGAAAAGGGGCAAGTGCATGTTACATCGTATTAAGAACCGTTGTAGTATCAACAACTAGGTTCATTGTTCGGATTGCGGTGGATACAACGTGATAGTACAAGCCCAAATGTATTTTGAGCACATTTCATAAAAAGAGACAATATATGGACAACATAGAAAACGAAAAAGAGATAGAGAAATAGAAATGGGAGAGGTAACTTTATCAAAACTTGGATTCGCATTTGACTGTGTACTATATAGTATAGACTATGCATGGCAGGTTTTTTTTCTCTTTTCTGTTTGACTGCTCAATAGGAATGCACTCGCAAATGGTATGGTTGTTGTGATGATTTAGTGCCATCGCCAAAGATTAAACATCCCTTTTCACCGTATCATTTCACAATTGACTAATAGCCCGCATAAAATGCTACAAATTTATGGCATTGTCTCATGCAATACGCGAGAACCATCTTAAATACACATTGACCGATTGACTTTATACTACTTTTTATTACTTGAGATATGGTTACAACAACCACCACAAATTCTAACCATAAGTATATGCCTCAAATCGCATCGTATCGAAAGTGTTGAAGAAATTACGATTTTTGTCCATTAAATACATGTGTGTGTGTCTTTGTTGACGAATCTTTTTGCCATTTCGATAATATGAAACTAATGAATGTATAAGAGTTGACACTTGCACACAAGGAATCTTTTTACTGTGATTGAATACCGGAACAAATCGGACACATAATATATGATGCGTGAGTGAACTATGTACGATAAGTGGTAACCCATAAAAAAAAACAAGCAAAATCATTAAAATTAAAGGGTTTTTTTTTTTTTTCATCTCAGAGATGTCGAAAACATTTTATCCGAAAAGACATGAAACGAAATTAACTCACAACAAGTACTACTTTTTGAAAATAAAAAAAGCAATAAAAAAATCCTTTGGCGAACGCAACGCTGCAGCTGTAAAATTCAGTATTGAGTGATCGATACACATATTTCTAAAACGAAATCCATAGCATCAAGTTGAGTGCATGAAATTCGATAGCACTTCTTGCTCTGCTGTACTGTAATGTGCCATGTGTATATGGTTTTTTTTCTGTTGTCCTTTCTTTATCTAGTAGACTAGATGCTGTTATCTGTCTGATGGCAATTTATCCTCTGCTTCGTCAAACATTTGGTATTTGTTTAATCTTCTATCAATCATTGTGTTGAAAGCAACGGTTTGCCATATCAATACAAATACCAAACATCGTTTTTCGTTGTCATTTCGAAATGCGAAAGAAAAGTAAAGTGACGGGATGATGTTGCCGCACTTAAAAGATGCTAATGATTTCCTTTGTATTTGATACTCTCTCTTTCTCTCTCCGTTGGTGTTGTTCCTTTTTTAATGTATCAATGTTTGATCAGTTTACTCTGTTTGAAGACATTGCACATCGACTCTCTTACTCTTGACTCACATACAATTTATGTGTTTTTTTCTTTGATTTTCTATCAGAGTCCTTTGCTTTTATGTTCATTATATACCAATCTAATGCTTGATTCAGCACATTGGCACATTGCAACCAAATCATTTTCATCTTCAAATCCAAGTTTGCTAACTTTAAAACGGCTAAACATGTCATTTTTTTTAAACGCAAAAATTGTTTCAAGAATTGCGTAATAGTGGACGATTGGGAGTGTCGAATTGGTAAAATCATATATCAACAGACAGCAAATCGTTAAAACAATGTCGGTGCTTTGTCAAATATACAGAGCAACATGGATTTTACTCACGTAAAATATTCGTTTCAATTGTCATCGACAGCATGTGTATAAATAAACATCGAAATTCACAATTGGAAAAACTTGTGATTTCGTGTGATATACACGTACATTTTCCAGTGTCGATTTCTCATTTCGACCACAGTACACTCTGTGTGAGTGTGAATAAAAAAAAAACGTTCGCCAAAAAAGCAATAGTGTGATTGCGTCGTAGCAAAAAGTATATCTATATATATATATAAAAGATTCGTCCACAAAAAATACTGCTATGCTTTGTTCAAACAACATCATCGACCGATTAATTTGGCGTATGCTATCCAAACGGAGACGGTCCACAAACAACGGAAAATTATTACCCTCAATTACAAATAGTTTTGCATATGGTATATCAGCGTGAATGTCGATGTGAAAACCGACAAAATGATAGCGCGCACTCGACTGAGCACCAAGAAATTGCAAGAAGAGGCGAAAAAAAACACGAACATCAAATTACTTATGCACTGTACAATACCGAATGCATGACACCGTCTTCAAATGAAATGGAGTGCAGTGGCATGATTACGGTGGCGGTGATGGCGGCTACTGCAACAACAGTTAGCCAAATAAAAAAAAATTGGAATAAGGAAAGAAAGAGAAATGAAGAGTAAAAAGAAAAAATTGACAACGCATGTTTGAATGCTTGCCAAAAAATTCGTTGTCTTTTTGTACATAATTAACACTTGTTCTGAAAAAAAAAGCTTAAGCGAAAGGTTGTCGCAGAGTGCATTACGATGAAAAATAAATAGATGTATCGATTTGACAATTTAATTTTGAAAGCGCGCAAATGTATTTGCAATGAAGAAGTAAAGAACTTGCACCAGACCAACACCAGCTGAATGTAAGATAGAAAAACACTCGCGCTTAATTACATTTCAAAAGCGTGAGCGCGGCAAGCGACGAGCAAAAGTGTACGAGAAAAGTAATTGCTTATGGCTATTTAAGAACTTCATTTGAAGCGGTCCCATTCTACCCTTCGCTGTGAATTTTTTTTTTTGTCTACCTCTCTCGTTCTCATTTTTTTTTTTCAATTTTAGAAAAGTTTAATGATTCTTCCGCAGTAAACTAATCAATTTCATCGTTCAATCGATTTTTGTTTTTATTTTATCGCCGCTATTTAGTATTTAGCTTTGCTTTGTCAGCCTTTTTATATATGTGTGTGTTTTAGGTTGTTTGTTTTAAAATTAGTAACCGACACAAATTGTGAAATGAAACAATTTTTTTTGATTATCCCCAATAAAATGCACGTGAGTTCAAACAGCTCAAACATTTACCATTCGTCTTCTTCTCGTTGTTGTTTCTCTCTCTCTCTCTTTATCATGGTTTTACAGTTTGATTTTTGATCCAACTATTGAAAGAGAAAAATACACACTATGCAGGTGGCGTTTTGAAACAAACATTCGTAAAATCGATAGCCCATCGGATTATTAATAAAGAAAAGAAAAATTACTTTCATTATTAAAATAGAACAACTTGTTTAGACGCATTAAAAAATATTGAGACTGTACTTCTCCGTTGAAACATGGCATTGTTTAGGTACTAGGTAATGTGGACCCACAAAACTTCAACGAGAAGGAAGGCTATTATATATAATGACCGGTTGCTATGTTTTTTTCTTCTTCTTCTTTGAATATTGCTTGTGATGCTATGATGAATTCCATAATAAAATCAAAATATTGTTTATCGCCAAATAACAAATTTCATTTGACTAATAACAACGGAGAATTGTAATGTCATTTTTCTCGAAAAATGGAATTTCTACATTTAATCGTTTGCACATCCGTACATTTAATTGGTTTGAATGGAGATGAAAACATAAAAAAAAAAAAATTTCAAAATTAAAATTAAAAGAAGAAGTTTTAATGGATCGTTTCAAAGAGGAAATTTCAATAAAAAACAAACTTCTTCCATGCGCATTTCTGTCCATATAATTCACAATGCTCAATCTTTTATTTTCTTTTTTTCTCTCTTTTTCTCATAAATTGAAAGCTTTTTTCATTTTTTCTTTCGCTCGAAAATATTACAAACCATAACCATATGACAATAGCGCATCTATTCTAAGAAATACAGAGAAAGAAAAAGAGAGAAAGAGGGAGAGAGAGAGATAAATCCAACATTTGAAATGTTTGAAGCCAAAGAAAAACAAACATTTCATTTTCCATTAGCGCTTTGCGAAAAAAATTGGTGTAAGGATCAGCATTACGTCCATGATATGATAAACATCATTTTATAACATAAGTTATTCAGTTGTAAATTGCTCATCATCTCCTTCATAAACAAAACGTAAGTGTCAAGAACATCTTATATACTGAACTAGCGACCGACATTGTTCTAGTGAATTATAATTTTTTGATAACGTAAAAACTAGTATAAGCGTTTCTCGTATATTATTTTAAATGCGCCACACACACATGCCATCGATACCAGAGTATTTAAAAACTTTTTTCTATATCGTTTTTTTTCTTAAACATCGACATTCAATTTATAAGTAAAAAAACTGGCGGGAATCATTTATCAAATTTGTCAAACTTTTACTTACAAAACATACAATGTTTTCGTCTTTTTTTCCCACTTCAAATCGAATTTATTTTATTCTTATTTTTCTACTTAAATGTGTGTTTGCCAAAAGTTGTGATTTGAACAATTTGTTAGTACTGTACTTGCATTATAAAGCGGCAGAGAGAAAACGCATTGTGGCAAAAGTTGGAAAATTGATAAAACTTTTGATGCTGATGTTAGAACCAACAACAAAAGAAATTACAGGGAAAAATGATGTCGCTGATGACAACAATTGTCGTTTTTTACTCAGATGACAACAATTGCTAATAATAAATAGTTTGGAAAAATGAAAAGAAAAGATGCATTTAAAAAAGAAAAAAAAAATAATTTGAAATTAAAAAATTAAATTTCATTCACTGGGATGAGAACTCGACGCCTTGAGATCACTGAATGCTGAAAAAAAAACTGTTTAATTGGTTTTAAAACAAAAATCACGGAATTAAATTTTGAGAATTTCATTTATTCTTTTAAATATATTTAAAAAAAAAAAATGCGTTGAAAGTTTGCTATCCACCATGAAGTGTTGAAATAAATAGAATATTATCATTTGACTGGATTTCATAGTCAAGTTCACCCTACAAAAGGAAAACGAACACAATAAGAAAATGGTTTTTGTTAAAATTGAAAAATGCCGCATTTATATACCACATACCAGGAGTTCCCAATCAGTTTCATTGATTAGCACCAAAATTCCTGGTCGCCTACAATGCAAACACACAAAAAAAATCGAATTAATAAATAATCAATCAATATCCGAATGTATGTTGGATTATTCATTCTATATTACTCACACTGAGTCATCTTGTATGAATAGCTCGGGTCGTTCTCTTAGGAGATTATCTTTGATCCACACTAGAAAGTCTCGGATTTTCCCTGTTTTTAAATAGAAATCAATTAAATCCATTGTCAATTGAATGATATGACAAAAAAAGAACCCACATGTTTTGCTACCATCCAGTTCAACACTTCGTGATTTTATGTTGTCAAATAGATTTTCGGCTCCACCGCTAAAAATTAATCAAGTATATTATAAATTATCGAATTTATTTTTAATAAAAAAACACACACACTCAGAAATACCTAAAATCAAGCGTTATTTTCAGTGGTTTTAATGTCATGCCGGAATGTTTTTCGTTTACTTTTGGTTATTGAATGGACGATAAAAACAAATGTGACAGATATACACTGTGCTCTGTGTGAGTGTGTATTTGAAATGTCAACAGAAAACAGTGAGCATACCATAACCTCAATGTCTGGACGATGGCAGGAATAACAAAATTTGTAAGCGGTATTCAAAACCATTGGAAAAAATCTTTATTTGGTGTGGCAGCAATAACATATGGTGTCAATTATGCCAACGAAAAATACAAGTAAGAAATAAATATGTGATTCCCGATTAAATTACTTCTATTCTTATTAAATTCTACATATTTGTAGAATAAATCAACTAATGCGTCATTACTGTGCGGAAGCATCAATTTATGGCGATAAAACACAAGCGGCCCTTCAGCCATTCGCAAAAATCATTGTTATTCTAAATCCAGTTGCCGACAAAAAGTCAGCCACCGACACGGTATGTATTTAAATATTGTTGGCATTTTAAATGAAATTTGTGTTGCACCAACATTTGCTTTTTGAAATTTAGTTTGAAAAATATTGTGCGCCAATTTTGTATTTGGGCGGATTAAGCATTGATATTGTGAAAACGGATTCGGAAGCACATGCACGCCGTTATATTGAAGAATTGGATACATTACCAGATGCTATTTTATGTGCCGGCGGCGATGGTACCTTATCAGAAATTGTAACAGGTAGACTTCGGTCACAATTTTTTCGTTTTTTATTTGTTTTTTTTTTTTTTTTTTTTGGAAATTGATTGATTCTCATTTTGCAAACAGGTCTGTTCCGGCGCACTTCGTACAAGAATGAAGCTCATCCTGTGATTGGAATTTTACCCGTTGGACGGGAAAATACATTCGCTCAAAAATTGTTTAATTTCACGAAAGCATCAGAGCTACAACAGGTTCAAGGTTTGGCCGATGCATCGTTGTCAGTCGTTCGTGGAAATGTTGTACCGAAAGATGTGATGAAAATTGAGGTGATCGATGATGATGCAAAAGATAAAGTGAAACCAGTTTATGCATTCAGTTCGTTTGAGTGGAGCGCATATATCGATGCATTTAATGAACGTGATCGATATTGGTATTTTGGTTCGTTGCGTGATTATGTAACATTTATTTTCAATGCGTTCAATAATTCAATGGCATGGAATTATGCAGCAACATTGACCTATACGGAACCATGTTCTGGCTGCAGTAATTGCTATGTGGACCAAAAGAAATTTGAAACAAAATCGACCAATCGTCGTTGGTGGTCTGCATTTATTCCATCATTTCGTCTTGGTTCATCACAATCGGCACCAAAATTACCAGACTATTCAAAGGTGCAAAACGTAAATTGTAACGTAAAAACGAGCATAGAATGTGACAGTGCTGGCATTATTGTGAGCTCATCAAATATTACAAATGTTGAACAACAAGATGAATCACGTCCACATTTGACACTGAAGCTCATTAAAGGAGAAGATGGTTTTAGTTTCATTGGCGATAGCTGGAACCGATTAAACAAAGACCAAATCAAATTAAATCAAGAGCATGCAATTCGAACCATTGAAATCTTTCCAAAACCGATTACTGATTTGAATTCAAATGTCGATTCAGATACAAATACCGATACGGAAAGATTCTTTTATATCGATCATGAATCTTATGAAGTCAAACCTATTCGAATAACACTTTTACCAAAACTAATCAATTTCTATTCGACATAGACAAGCAATGAATGATACTTGTCTCCACTTTTTTTTCTTTGAAAAATGATTTAAATACAAGTAAATAAAATGCGCAGTAAAATCTGTTTATGTGTAATTCTGGAATTGTTTCTTTTTATTTATTCAATTATTATTTTGATGTTGTTGTTGTTGTTTTTTTTTTTAATTAGCCAAAATTATAGTTTCTTTGTGAAAGAAGATGAATTATTTTCATATGAATTTTACCACATTTGTAAACTTTGACAATGTTGGTTTGGTTCTTTGAATAAAAAAAAATAATTATTTTTATAATTGCCAAGCATGTACTACAACTTTCTTTGACAATTAAGAACGTTCAAGTTCGAAATATTTTTGGATTATTCAATTGAAGCGCCACATCGGCAAAAGAGCATAGAAAAAAATTATTTATAACCATTTTACAATTTATAACGTCATCAATGAAAGTTCACGCACCAAGCAAATCACTTTCAAATTTCGATCGATGCAAACAGAAATTATTTTTTTTCTTGCGTTATATGTTCACTTTCTGTGCCTAACAATTAACTAATTTTCTACATTTGCACAGCATCCGTTTGGACGATATATACATATATCTATCCTTGACTCTCTTCCGTAGAAGTTCTACTAGTAAAAATGTAATAATATTATAGGAAAAATATAACAAATAGAGTGAAAAAAAATGGAAAATAAAATGCAATTGGAAAAATTGTGAAAAAAAATTATGTTAAGAAAAAAAAATCGAATTGACGGTTTTGTTTGCAGTTGTTTTGAGCTTCAGTTGCAAGCATGATATTATTTGTCGACGGTAATCGGCATCTTGTCAGCGTTAGCCTGCGCCAAATTCAAACCCATCGATCGGCCGGTTGTGTCGTATGCCATGAAATCATTGTTGCGTACACCACTGTTGGCTGATGGTCCACCCATGAACGGCATATTTACTTGACCTTGGCGATTCCACATCGACTTATTTTGCGATTGAATGAATTGCAAACCATTTTGTCCAAATTGGCTTTGCTTTTGGTGCTGAAAGCAGAAAAAAAAACAAAACAAAAAATGATACTCGATCATATCGATAACCATGAACCGGTGGACGTTAAAAAAATGTCAAACATACCTTGTAGCCGAAGCGATTGTTGTTGTATGGCTGATTGTTGGCCATAAAATTGTTCGATTTGTATGATTGGAATTTTGGCTGGTTGCCACCGATTTTCAAGCTTTGTAAATTACGATACTGGTCTTCGAATTGCTTCTTTTGCAATGCATTTTGCATAATGGCCTGTGTATGAATTTGTAGCTCTTGTGGTGTTGGCGATTGCATGTTACCATTTTTCATTTGAATCATTTGCAACTGACGAAGTTGACGGCTCATTTGCTCTTTTTGTTTCAATTGCTGCTGTTGTTGGTCGAGTAGCCATTGTTGATTTTCATTGCAAAATGCAAAAACGGCCAGAAATGTTTCGCGATCATGTTGATGAACGGTGGGATTGCCAATTTGTTGCAAAATATGGTACTGAGTTGAAGAAATTAAAGAAAAGAAACCAATTATTTTGAAAATTAGATTTCAATTTAAAAAAAAAAAACGGAAAAAATTGTTCCTATGAAATTGAACGCACCTGGGTGATTTCTCCATTTACCAAACGATGTAACAAAAGTTGAGCATCTGGTCGTTTCATGGTTGCATTTTGTGACAAACGATGCTGATACAAGGTTTCAGCACTCTTATTAATCAAATTGAGCAAAAAGTTTGTCTGAGCTGCATTCATTGAATTTTGTTTTTGGCATACAGTCGATGTGGCCAATTGATTTAGCATCATGCGAATGGCATTGATATCAGTTTGTTGACCATTTTGCTCTTGTTGCTTTGCCTGATTCGGTGGACACCAGTCCGCTTCCAATTCGTCGACACTTCGAAGTTTGTTGGGTACATTTGTCTTCTTTTGGTTTGCCTTTTGATGATAGTCGAAAAATTGTTGCGTCGATTTTGTATCGAATGTGTTGGTACCAGCGGTGAATTTTCCACTCGGATATGTTGGCTTGTCGCGACCAAACCATTGCGAGAACCGTGATTCACCGGTGCCAAGGTCACGTGAACAGTTCACCGACGGTGGCAAATCGAGTTTGAGAAAATCTTCAAAATTGAAGTGTTCATCGTTATTAGCCGATTTCATTGAACCAGTTTTGGATGGTGTACTATTACGTGCTGGCGGTGATACGGATACACTTTCACTTTTTTGCGTATCTTCGTCTTCTGGACCATCAAAACCATGTAATTCAATGATATCATGTTTTCTATTGGAGTTTAAATTCATTTTTGTTTTTCATTAATATGCTTATAGTTAATTGTTTCATTAATATGCACTACTGTAGATGGACTAACGGTTAAAATGCATTTAATATGAAGATGAAACTTACGATATTGGACCGCAATTAGCCCATTCCGGTTCGTCGGATTTGGAATCGGCGTTGTCAGTGTCAGATGTTTGGTTTACCATCTCCGAATGCTTCCAATTTTTCACAACTTTTCCATCCTCTTTAAACAATTTGTTGCGCATATAACGGACATCCATTCCAATCGCATAGACATTATCTTGTGCATTGAAATTGTCTACAATACGACCGCTACCAATGCGTCGTCGATTAGACGCATATTCACCATTTTGTTGTTGTGCATTCGAAACAGCAGCCGAAATCATTTGCTGAAAATTGCTGCGTGCTTGATCTTTTTGTGCATCGGATGCGCCACTTTCTAAATGCGAAAAAAAAAAATTTTTTTAACACGTAAGTAACACATTCGATCTTTTTGCAGCATGATTTTAATATTTCAACGAGAAATTATAGACAAACAACGGTGTCTGAGAAAAAAAAGAGAATAAAAACTGACTTACTTCGTGATTTCAAAATGTCGCTATTTTTAAGCACATGTCGAATTTTTTCCATTCGTTTGTCATCAGCACCGCTAAGATCAAACATTTTTGGTGGCTCTTTCGATGCTTTGCTCTGGCCAAATTCGAGCAATTTTTCGCGAGAATAATTTAACGTTATTCCAACCATGGCTTTCTGACTTGCCTTCAATTCGTCGTCCAAACGTTTTTTCGCTGCACTTTCGGACAAGACCTCGTCATCGAAATGCACGTGCAAATTTTTCATCAGAGCACTCATTGCTAATTGCGTTTGGTATTCGTTTAATTAAATTTAAATTGTAACGAAGACGAAGAGAAAAAAAAACTGGGAACTCGCTTTCAAAAATGTGAATAATGAAATGTCGTCGGAAACTTGAATGTTTGATACAAAAAAATTTTTTTTGAGTGAAGACAGAAAGATATGGTGACTTTTTTTCTCTAGAAATTTTTTTATCGATAGTTTTTGTATGATCTACAAAACAAAAGATATTTAGAACTTAAAAAATGAATAATGCACGTGGTTACGACGAATCAAAATAATAAAATAATGAGAAAGGCTGATTATTATTCTTCTTTTTTCAAATATAGATCTACAAAAAAAATATTCTGAATATTCTTATTCTGTTTAATAAAACAAGTGTATCGGTTAGAAATACTAAAACGTGAATGCCGTAACATCGTCTCACTTTCGGTTGGTGAGGTGCACACCGTCCGCCACCGGCTTGGATGCGACTTTTTTTACAGTTATCACCGACTAAGAATCGGGTGACGATTTATTGCATTTAAACCGTACACAGAGTGCAAATCACAACATCGACTGTGAGATTTCGGTACTAGCGTCTCACATTTCCAATATTCGCACATTCAGCCGCAACAACAATAAAATGCATAGAGGCTGTGTTTCATCGAACACAATCGATTTGCAATGGGCAAGTAAAAGTCGTTGCGTACACAGTCAAGGTCAATTAGGACACGAACGAGACAAAAAGAATGTATGCATGATTAGAACAATGTATGATTTGGAATCAGTTTTTTTTTGGTTTCTTGAGTCAAATGATTTTCATTTTTAAACTGGTACAATGTTGGCGTGATTCGAACCTATAAAATTTAACAAATCGAAATACTGAAAATTGCACTCAATAAAAAAGAAATTGCAAAAGAGATTTAAAAAAAATTGCAATTGAATGATAAAGAATGTACATTAAAATCGATCATTGTTCATATTATGAGCTGCATATAAAATAACGCAAAATAAATTTTTTAACTGACATTTCAATTCGAATATTGAGCTGCGGCAGAGTTTGTCAAATGTTTGTTTACCATTGACACATAGCATACCGCAGCGTTTCTATGTGAGTCACACAAATCACACGTCTATATTTATGATACAAATTGTCAAATTGAATTCATATATAAAATAGATTTTTCATTGGTTTGTATTGGCTTTGCGATTAAATTCTGGTTGAAATCGCTCACGTATCAACATTTTAAATTTGTATTGTGAGTCAATTAATTGGCTAAGAATTTTAATCTTTGCTGGGTAAATTAATTAATCTATTTTCATTTTTCTAATTATTTCACAACGGCGTAAATAAACTGACTCTTTGTTATTTGCTTTATGATAACAGTCATTTGGTGTTAAAAAATAAAAATAAATTGCAGCCAAATATGGACAAAAAAACAAAGGCCGATTTTGAAAAAAGAGAAATACCACCATTTCTAGAGAAAATCTTGGCACTAGATGTCGAATGGACGAAGAAATTTGTATCGTTTAGCTTGAATTTTGTTCCAATTCGATCGCTTAAAACTCACTGCAAATTTTTGGAAGTAAGTAAACAACCGTCATCTTTTTTATTGCATTTCTTTTTTTTATCACCATTTCAATGCCAAATGATTATTTTACGTTTTTCTTTGCAGTATTCGTGCCATGGATTGGTTTGGTTGTCGGCCTTGTTGGCCTTTTGTTGGCTAATTGACAATCCAAACTATTATCAATTGCAAATGAATTTACTAATTGGCCTTATATTGGACATTGTGTTTGTGGCCAGCATCAAGGCAGCCACTCGACGAAGGCGTCCAACAATCGATGACAGTTTTCTCACCATCGGTCCAGATAAGTTTAGCTTTCCATCTGGCCATGCATCGCGTGCATTCTTTATATTATTGTTTTTCACCGCGCTTGAACCGCTACCGCTACTATTTTGGCCACCGATGTTTGCTTGGGCGGTCAGTGTTAGTTTGTCACGATTGCTGCTCTATCGTCATCATATTCTTGACGTTTGTGGCGGTATTACGCTTGGTATATTGGAATCACTTTTAATTTGCATCCTATGGTTGGGCAAGGACGCATCTGCCTGGGTTATGTCATGGTTATCGGATGAAAAACTACCCAGTGGAACGACACAAGAGGATTTATTTTAATAATATTCTTTGTTATGAACGACTCGGATTATTGCTTTGTTATTTCCTTTATTTATACAAAACCAAAGTTTCCAATTGGCTTAACGAAAATTTACAGACAATAAAAAAAATTAGTTTAACCAATTCAGTTTATTTGATGATCGCTCATTTTTTACATGGATAAAAAATATGTTATCATTATATGGATGAAAATAAAATGTCCATTCAGCATCAAACAATTTTTTCACTCAATCGAATTAGGAAAATGTATAAGATCAGATGTATAACACAAAAAATGTTGTAATAATACGAATTGTTGATTGAAACTGCTGAATGAAAGGAGAAGTAAACGGAAGAGAAACGAAAAAAATTATCGGCCGAATAGTAGTGACTACGAGTCTGAAATAGCCAGTAGCAGGGCTGTAATTTTCACTCTGTCAGTGCACGCACACAGTAGTGTGCACACTCACACTCAATGCGCACACTTATTCACAAGTTTGACATTTTTGGCGGTTGGCAAATTTGTAACTAAGTGTAAAATGTATTTTGTTGGTCGATTGTTCTGCTTTAAGCTTTGAACTAAGAACAATCAATAAATTCCAAATTTAGAATAGTATTTAAAAAATCAATTTTGTCAACTATTTTCACTCCATTATATGAATAAATTCACGAAGTTCAACTAGAATCTATCAAAAATGAAAAGTATTTGAGAATAAACCAAAAGGACGTTTAGACGTTTCGCTGGACCAAACAGATAAAATTGTTTTGTAACAAAAAGATTGAGAGGCTCGATGAAAAAAAAACTACATATCAAGAAAGAACTTGAAAGTAAGAAAGGGTGTTGGAACAAATTTCATCCGAACCAGATGCATCAAAGCCAGACTATAACATAGTCAAGAAAAAAAACCAAATAAAAAATCATTCACAGTCAGCATCTCAGCCAGTACAAAAAATGACCTTCCTACCAACTGATAATATTGATAAGCAAATTATGAAAAGTGAGCAATTAGAAGTCATCGAAGTGTTGCAGTCAATTAAAAAGTAATGAATTTCAAGTTGTACTAAAAATAATAAAATGCAGATATACCCACCTTGAATAAAATGTTTTGTATATTTTTCAAATATAATATTCTCCACAAGGCTACTTCTTCATGGAATTGTTCAATTTCAATAAGAGCAGTAAAAAACCAAACTGATGCAGTAGAAATGTATTTATTTCGAAATCCAAATAGCTGCGAAAATGCGAGAGAGTACAAATAAGAGTATTTTATTTATCAATTTTGTTGGTCTCTTCCATTTGAATGATTTCGCTTTGTGTAATTAACATTGCTTCGTTTATAGTTTTCACAAGTGGATATTGGTCATCGCTTTGTTCTGGAATTTTTATTGTTATACCATCGATTGCTTTAAAATCTGCAAATGTGTCCATTGCCATATGCGGTCCCATGAAATAATCATAAAAGTTCAAAGCGTAAACATTTACTCCAGCAATGTTATGTTTCATAAGTAGTCGAATTTGGTTTGCAACCGATCGGGCTGATTCGAATTCAATACAGCGACTTCTGATCTCCGAAATTTTCTCTGGAATTTGAACACAATCTAGAACTTCGTGCCAATCTCTCCTTAATCGACAACGAGCTACGAATGTAAATTTATGTACAAGTGCTGAAATCCAATAATGGTTTTCATTGGTGACACGCCCGATTTAATGAAACTATCAATAATATTGTTTAAAAGTGGAAATTGTTTCACAATTTCAATGGAATTAGTATTTCGATGTGTTGGTTCAACAGAAATAAATTGAATGAATTCAACGTAGTGTTGCATAGTTGCATAATCGAGAGCATTTACAAGTGCATCCTTATTACCCTTGAATGAGAGTGCCAACGAAAGGTTATTTGATTGAAATGCCTCTTTCATTTCTTTCACAAGAAGCGCAAAATTCCTTTTTTCATTCGGTTGATAGCTGCAGCTATGGGAAAGAAAAAGAAAATAGTCAGGGGATAATTATATAATTATTACTTAATATTCATTTGGTTGCCTTACATCTCACGTGAATGGTCGAGGTTTAAATTAAATCCATCGAAATTATAAATACCCAATGTCTTGTTGAGTAATTTGGTAATAAATGCGTTGCGACTTTTTCGAGTAGAAGCTAACTCAAAATAATTATTCGATTTCTCGATCATTTGATGATTTTCACAGGTGATTCAATATGTATGTGAATACTTCATTGTTAACCTCAACACTCGAAAAATTTGAAGAGTTTGATTATGGCTGTGAACAAAACATCTTGTCGCTCATATGAGAGAGAGAGAGATCATACACTGAAACGTTGTCCATTTAAAATACACAGCAAGCAGAGCTGTTTATGTCGCTCATATGAGAGAGAGAGGAGAGAGAGAGATCTTACACTGA